TTTTTGCAAACAAATTAAAGACAAACTCCAAAATGTCATCTCACACATCATTGAAACAACCATATTTGCATATACAGTGAAAGACAGAAATATTCGTCCTCCTGAATATATATTTACACCAATTTCTGTTTAACGGAGAGCAGATTTTTTCAACACATTTCTAACCATAATAGTTTTAATAACTCATTTCTAATAACTGATTTATTTTATCTTTGCCATGGTGACAGTAAATTATATTTGACTAGATATTCTTCAAGACACTAGTATTCAGCTTAAAGTAACATTTAAAGGCTTAACTAGGTTAATTAGCTTAAGGCTAGAGTAATTAAGCAAGTCATTACATAACGATGGTTTGTTCTGTCGACAATCTGAAACCAAATATTGCTTAAGGGAACTATTAATATTGAACTTAAAATTGGTTTTAAAAATGCTTTCATTCTAGCCTAAATAAAATAAAAGACTTTCATCAGAAGAAAAAACACTATAGAAAATACTGTGAAAAATTCCTCAATCTGCTCAACTTCATTTGAGAAATATTTGAAGAAAATCACAAGAGGACGAATAAGTTTGACTTCATTTGTACTGTAAATAATAATGAAAAATGTACATGCACTAAAGGTATGTGACCTCAAAATCTGCACTAGATATGCCCTAAAAGCCACTAAAATAGAGTTGAAACACATGAGCGCAGGTGAGATGAGCACTGATCTGAGAGCAGCAGCAGTAGAAAAGATATCCTTTAGCTAACTGTTTTATCTTCCTCGGTGAGGGAGGGCCACTCGTGTTATTGATTAAAAACAGAAGGAAGAAGAATCCCACAGGCACTAAAAGGAACAGGCAATGATTAATGTCCCTCTCGGAAAAAAAAAAAAGAAAGAAATTATATGGAATAAATTAAACTACTGCGGCAGCAAATTGAAAAATAAGGACGCAAATGAGGTTTGAATACTTAATATCTTTTGAAGAGAAATAGTCAATGAAGCACAAAAACGATGAGGGATTGGCAAAGAAATGTGATATTAGCACTAACGACCCAGGCTAGGTCTGCTGTACTGTCAGAATTCACCTGGCAGGTGGGTCTTTTACACTGAAACGGTGACAACAATGACACAAGCTGCTGTGAAAGGAGGCTGTAAGAGACCGGCATCTCTGATAACCTGTAAATTAACAAACAGCTCATTCTGTTATCAGACTCTTTAATGAGTGTCAGTGGGATAAATATATACGTTTTGGGATCAGATTAATGCATTTTTATCTAGCAGAGCCTTGGTGGTTGATGATTGTCAAGCTATTTCTCTTATGCACAAGTTTTCCCGCTTGAAAGGAAGACACATCATCAAAGGAGTTTAACTGAATTCCACTCATCTATTTATTGCATCATAAATGCAGCAGAAAGGTGAAAAACCTTTAAAGTAAATAAAATACAAGATATGTAATTAAATTAAAATTAATTAAAATAGTAAAATAAACATATTTATATATATACAAACATTTGTGAATTTTGTCTGAATTTTCAAACAGCATTCACACAAATATTGTAATGTATTAACAATTGCTGAAGCACAATCAACAGTACAGTTAAATATATTGAACTTAAATATTTCGTTTTAAGACATTTAATAAGATTAATTATGCTACTGCAACAATCAGCTTATGTGCACGTGATCCGCTCATGCATGTACAGTATATACAGTTGAAGTCAGAATTATTAGCCCCTGAATTATTAGCGCCCCTGTATATTTTTTTCCTGATTTCTGTTTAATGGAGGGAAGATTGTTTCAGCACATTTCTAAGCATAAAAGTTTTAAAACTTATTTCTAATAACTCATTCATTCATTCATTCATTTTCTTGTCAGCTTAGTCCCTTTATTAATCCAGGGTCGCCACAGCAGAATGAACCGCCAACTTATACAGCAGGTTTTTGCGAAGCGGATGCACTTCCAGCCGCAACCCATCTCTGGGAAACATACACACACATTCACACTCATACACTACGGACAATTTAGCCTACCCAATTCACCTGTACCGCATGTCTCTGGACTGTGGGGGAAACCGGAGCACCCGGAGGAAACCCACGCGAACGCAGGGAGAACATGCAAACTCCACACAGAAACGCCAACTGAGCCGAGGTTCAACCCAGTGACCTTCTTGCTGTGAGGTGACAGCACTACCTACTGCGCCACTACGTTGCCTTATTTCTAATAACTGGTTTATTTTATCTTTGTCATGATGACAGTAAATAATATTTTACTTGATATTTTTCAAGACACTTCTATACAGCTTAAAGTGACATTTAAAGGCTTAAATAGGTTATATAGGTTAACTTTGCAGGTTAGGGTAATTAGTCAATTTATTGTATAACAATGGTTTGTTCTGTATATTATCGGAAAAAATTGGCCCTAAGGGGCTAATAATATTGTCCCAAAAATGTTTTTGTTTTTTTATTTTATTTTTTTTATTAATAACTGCTTTTATTCTAGCCGAAATAAAACAAATAAGACTTTCTCCAGAAGAAAAAAATATTATCAGACATACTATAAAAATTTCATTGCTCTGTTAAAAATTATTTGGGAAATATTTAAAAATAAAAAGAGGGTAATAATTCTGACTTTAACTGTAAATCACGGAGGAAAAACTAACATCTTAACGTCAATCAGATAGCTCTCAAATGATGATCAAAATAACCAAAACTGTACATTTGTGCTTCATAACATCTTCTAGTTTCCAAATAACTATTTGTAACTTCAAGTAGTTAAGCTGCGAGCAGATAAGCACTGTGGGAGCACGTTTTTCTCTGTGCTGAACTTAAACTCGGATGCTGCTTCACAATTGATTTGCCCGACATGCCAGTCACGATTTTCATGTAATGAACAAAGTAAAGTTCTCACCGGCTGCCATTCCGGGACTAGATGATGGTTTTTGAAAGGTGTGGTTTCTGTTTTGCTCAATTTCGACAGAGATTCAGCTTTGACGGAGGTTTCGTTTTGGCGGAGTTCTGTTCTGGTTAGTTTTCAGTTTCCTTTTGTTACGTGAAGGCCGAACTACTGCATGTCCTTCCGCCTGTCCCTCTGACTGGCGGATGGATTTTTTTCTCCTTCTACTTTAGTTTGACTTAACAATGATGCTATGTAATATATCTGTTATAATCTTCCTAGAAAGTACATTATGTATTTGCATGTAAGCATGAGTGACAGCAGATCAATGAATCACAGTTTGATAAATATTGCAGCTGTTGGGCAACATAATGAACTTTTGAGGCCTTTTTAGGCAAGAATGTAGTTAGTTTGCAATCTTAAAAGAAATACTGAGAAATCTCTGTAGACTGATGGCATTTCATGCAGTTCAGCCTTATAATCTTAAAATATGAGCAAACTCAGTTGTTTAATCATCACTTTAGACATTACGCTAGAGAATAATTCAAACACTAGCTCTAAAGGAACGTTAATGAAGTGGCAACAGCTTCTACTGTTCTTACTGATGTCAGCTGCAGATGTGAATGATTGGCGAAGGAAAGTAATTCCTCTTACAAAAGGGTTTTGAGACACTGTTGGATTTTCTTTTTATTATACACGATTGTGCAGTCAAACTGTTGTATAAACACAATATTACAGTCATAGCAGTGCAATATGGCTGTATATCATCACTGGTGGGACACTAAGGCACTCAGCTTGTGGCCTCAAGCCAACGCACACCTCCCACCAGTGCTAATATACAGCCATATCACACTGCTACTCATGTGATACTGCTCATATGTTAGTCATTCATTCATTCATTCATTCATTCATTCATTCATTCATTCATTCATTATCCTTGGCCTCTTACATATCAGGGGTCACCACAGCAGAATAAACCACAAACTATTCCAGCATATGTTTTACGCAGCAAAGGCTCTTCCAGCCACAACCCAGTACTGGGAAACACCCATACACACTTACATTCACACTCATACACCACAACCAATTTAGTTTAGTTTAATTAAAATGTATTTAGCAATGCATTATTAAAGTTGAAAACATATACCTGTTAATGACAGAGCTAACATGAACAACCAAACATCAGCTCTATTTTTATGAACTAACATGAAGTCTCATAATAATTAAAGGGTTCATGTGAGCTTATATGTTTAGAACATATTAAACATTTATAAATCAGATGGGTCTCTCATTTATCAAGACAACCTTTAAGAGTTGCTCCTCGATCCTCATGGGCAGCACAAAAGATGATGGTTCATAACAACTAATTACTAATGCAGATGATTTATTCAAGATCATAACAACATACAGCCAATGATTCATGTTTCATTGATGGATATTTGTCTTTTGATAAAAGGTCAGCCTATAAGGAGATGCATCACCTGCTGTCATCATCACAAACTGCAGACAGCATCAGAAAATCACACCCACATCCCATAATGCACTTGTGACGCTTCTGCAGTCAGGCATACACTTCTAAAGGAGTTTAAAACCTTGTGTGTGTGTGTGTGTGTGTGTGTGTGTGTGTGTGTGTCTGTGTGTGTGTGTGTGTGTGTGTGTGTGCGCGCATTTGCTGCACTGTAAAAAATTTCCCTGTAAAAAAACGGTAATCTACTGGCAGCTGTGGTTGCCATTATCATACTGTAAAAATATGGTGCACTACCGTTTTTTAAATTACCAGCATGATACTGTTTTTGTTAGCAACAGTATTCTACTGTTGTGGAACTGTAAAAATACAGTGCCCTACCGTTTTAAATTAACAGCACGATACTGTTTTTTTAGCCACAGTAATCTACTGTTATGGAACTGTAAAAATACAGTGCCCTGCCATTTTAAATTAACAGCATGATACTGTTTTGTAAGATACAGCATACCACTGTTATTCTAATGTAAAAATACAGTGCCCTACCTTTTTTACATTTTATCTACAGCATGCATCTGTTATTTAGAAGCATAAAGCTGTTAAATTACAATCCATATTTAACCATATTATTTCAGATTAAAATGATTCAAAAAGAGAAATAAATCCAAGTTATATTTCACATTTTTTTATTTTCAAACAACACAAAATAAAATCTGCATTGTGTTTGTGAAAATATTAAGCCAAAGAACAGGCAAAAATTGTAAGTTCTCCAGAAATGTTAAGATGGTTTTCAGCATTGTACAACAAGAAGCAACTTACCGAATGTCATAGAAAAAATTAATAAATAGCCACTTTACAATTTAGTCTTGGATATAAAATATAAAAATATATAGCCCCAAAATGAGCTTCAGCAAATAAAGAAAAAAAGGCCTCTGTGTTGCAAAAGTAGGGGGTTCAAGCTAGCTGCATTTTAAATAAAGTCCCATTCAAAGTCCATTAGTTTCTTTAAAAGGTTTGAAACCTTGGGGTTTACAGTCATGGTCTTCTTCTGAACTGTCTTGCCAGTTTTTTTTGACGTCACATTTCCTCTCACAGCCTTGGTTCCCCTCTCTGGATTTATGCCAGCAAAGCATCTGAATAATAAGAATAAAAGATTTTCTGTGAACAAGGTATTTAAAACTGTATGACTTACAAAAATAAATAAACTATCTGCAAAAGGGATTTTCTGTTCTGAAAGAAAATTTTAGTGAAAAAGCACATGCATTTTTGCAGCACTAAAATGGTTTTCCCTGAAAAAAGGTTATTATTATATGATGAAGATTAAAGACATGAAAAGGGCATTCAAATGTTAAAATGTTTGATTTTTGATCAACACCAGTGACGTGTGTGTACATAGTTAAAGTCCCTATTTGCAATTATATATGTAGAGTTGAAGTCAGAATTATCAGCCCCTTTTTTTGAATTATTTATTTTCATTATTTTCCTAATGATGTTTAACAGAGCAAGGAAATGCTCACAGTATCTGATAATATTTTTTTCAGGAAAAAAGTCTTGTTTTATTTTGACTAGAATAAAAATAGTTTTAATTTTTTAAAATATTGATTTTAAGGTCAAAATTACTAGCCCCTTTAAGCTATATAATGTTTAGATAGTCTACAGAACAAACCATTGCTATATAATGACTTGCCTGATTACCCTAATCAGCCTAGTTAACCTAATTAACCCAGTTAAGCCTTTAAATGTCACTTTAAGCTGTATAGAAGTGTCTTGAAGTATATCTCGTCAAATATTATTTACTGTCATCATGACAAAGAGAAAATAAATCAGTTATTAGAGATGAGTTATTAAAACTATTATGTTTAGAAATGTGTAGAAGAAATTCTCTCCGTTAAACAGAAATTGGGGAAAAAAATAAACAGGGGGCAAATAATTCAGACTTCAACTGTATATAATATAATATATATATTTTTTCCCCCAATTTCTGTTTTACAAAGAGAAGATTTCTTCAACATTTCTGAACATACTAGTTTTAATAACTAATTTGTAAAAACTAATAACTGATTTCTTTTATCTTTTCCATGATGACAGCAGATAATAACTGCCTATATTTTCTTAAAATACTAGTGTTTAGCTTAAGGTGACATATAAACGCCTAACTAGGTTAATTAGGTTAATTAAAGTCATTGTATAACAATAGTTTGTTCTGTAAAAATATGTAAAATATATCAAAAATATGTATTGCTTTAGGGGACTGATAATATTGACATTAATATGTTTAAAAAAAAATAAAAACTACTTTTATTCTAGCTAAAAATCAGAAACAAAATTCTCCAGAAGAAATAATATTATCAGAAATTCTGTGAAATATTCTTTGCTCTGTTAAACATAAATATGTAAATATTGAAAAAAGAAAAAAAAAATCAAGGAGGCTAATAATTTTGACCACGCACGCACGCACACACACACACACACTAACACACACACACACACACACTAACACACACACACACTAACACACACACACACACACACACACACACACACACACACACACACACACACACACACACACACACACACACACACACACACACAGACCACATATAGTGTTCAGCATAAATGAACAGCCCCTTTAAAAAATGTATATTTGTATAAATTCCTCAGTGAATATAGACAAATATATATTGGTGCATTTAAACAAAACAGTTTTATTAAACAGAGTAATATTTTTTTCCTGTTTATCATTAAAGTTGTATTTTTTTTTTTCATCAAAATATTCACTGGCGTGTACTAAGTTTATTAGCTCCAATTTTGGCTTTGACTAATCTAATGTTAATGCACAAATATATAATTGTAAAGCATTCTATTCAAAATATTAATCTGAAGGACAGATTTTTTAGAGGTCATGTTTAAAAAGGCTATTCTGCTCACAAAGGCTGCATTTATTTGATCAAAAATAAAGTAAAAATGTTGAATTTTAAAGTGTTACTACTAGGGATGTAACAGTATCAGAATTTTACTGTACGATAATACCTCGGTATGAATGGCATACTTATTGAATAATTTACAGGAAAAATAAAACTAATGAAAAGACTCGAAAAAAGTGCCAAAAGTGTTTATTTACCTTAGCACTGAACATATCAATGACATACAAATTAGCCATCTATTTGTAAGTTTCGAAACAGGAACTTCAATTTTTAAATTTTAACAACAAAAAACTATTAAACCATATAAAACAAATAAAGTTTCAATTTAGTATTGTTGAAAACTCATCACATTCAACATTTAATCACTCACTCACTTAGATAGAGATGAGTTTTTTAAAGAAATTATCATATAACTATAATCTGGTAAAAGCTGGGATCTCTGGGCATGTCCCCTGCAACAGAAAAAAACCCTCTCATTTGGGACTGAGGTTTCTGGGACAGAGAGCTACGATTAAGCCAAGGTTGACAGCAGTGAGTAACACTGTGCATTGTCTTTCCACCACTTGAGAGGACAAGCCATGAGTGAGATAGAGGTCTTTTTGCGGTACAAGTCAATGTCTGCATCAATCTAACAAGTGTGCTGTGTCTGTCACCTTTTCTCCTTTCTCATATCTTTTTAGAGAGAAACCGAAATGCTTCCACACATCCGATTTAAAACCCGCTTTAGGTTCGATCATTTCCAGCTCTTTTTCTTCCCCGCTACTAGCACCACACTCCATTTCCGCATTACTGGATCTGTAGCGACAACAGACTACAAAGGATGATGGCCACGCCTGGGCTGATGGGAATTGTAGTTCCCGCTACCTCCCGTTCACTTCATTCGCCTGAGCAAACTTTTCTCAGAAAAATAGTTTTATTGAGTCATGCGCCTACGGTAATATTGAAAAAAATTACTATTGCGGTATGACGGTATTTATAATTTTGTTACATCCCTAGTTACTACACAATTTAAATAATTCAAATTTTTTAATTTTTATTTTTTTTCTTATTGAACATAGTTTTACATTTAATTTAGTGTCACATGATCCTTAAGAAATCATTATATTATTGGTACAAAACCACTAATATTGATTCTTATAATGATCAGTGCTAAAAAGAAAGCTTCAAAGTATTTTGGAAACTGATACATTCTTTTACGATTGTTTGATAAAAAAAAATAAGTACATTTTTTTAAAAATCTTTTTTGCATTATAAAAAATTTATTCACTTTTATTCATTCCTTCATTCATTTTCTTTTTGGCTTTTTCCCTTTATTAATCTGTGTTCGCCACAGCGGAATGAAACGCCAACTTATCCATCATATGTCTTACGCAGCGGATGCCCTTCCAGCTGCAACCCATCACTGGGAAACACCCATACACTCTCATTCACACTCTTACACTACAGACAATTTTAGCTTACCCAATTCACCTGTATCGCATGTCTTTGGACTGTGGGGAAAACCGGAGCACCCGGAGGAAGCCCACGCGAACACAAGGAGAACATGCAAACTCCACACGGAAATGCTGACCCAGTCGAGGCTTGAACCAGCAACCTTCTTGCTGTGAGGTGACAGCACTACCTACTGAGCCACCGCATTGTCTAATTTACTTTCATGCTTGAACAATTTAGTTTGATGAGTAAAAATAATTAATTTTCAATGGTACTTTGAAATAGTATAATTGTATAATGTGTACTGACGTGGTGGTGCAGTAGGTAGTGCTGTCACCTCACAGCAAGAAGGTCACTGGTTTGAGACTTGGCTAGGTCAGTTGACGTTTCTGTGCGGAGTTTGCATGTTCTCCCCTTGTTCGTGTGGGTTTCTTCCTGGTACTCTGGTTTCCTCCATAAGTCTAAAGATGTGGTACAGGTGAATTGGGTAGGCTATATTGTTCGTAGTGTATGTGTGTGAATGGGTGTGTATGGATGGTTCCCAGAGATGGGTTGCAGCTGGAAGGGCATCCACTGCATAAAACATGTGCTGGATAAGTTGGCGGTTCATTAAGCTGTGGCAACCCTGGAATAATAAAGGGACTAAGCCGAAAAGAAAATGAATGAATAATGTGTATTGTATTGTTTCACAAAGTTATGACAACAACAATAAATGTTTATTCTTAGCAGATGGTTATATTAAGCAACATGAGAATTATGTGACACTGAGGACTAGTATTTTTTAATGATGATCAAAATTTAACTTTAAAATACAAGAATCACATTTTAAACTAAATACAATAAAATACCAGTACATGATTTAATTAGTTTATGATAAATATATACCAGTGGTTCTCAAACTGTGGTACGTGTACCACTAGTGGTACGCAGGCTTCCTTCTAGTGGTACACGGAGGATTCGCTGTATAATAAAATAAAAGAAATAAAAACACTTTTAACCCTTTAATGCGTACAATAAGCCTGATGTGATCAGTAAAAGCCTGATTTTAATAGGGTAAACCTTTTATTTTATTTTCATTTTTTTATGTTTGTTATGTATTCTATCATGTGAAGCTAATCTCCCCATATTTGTAATGGTTGTTGGGGCGTATCCTCTATTTTTATATCCCAATGTTGACAGGTATAGTTTAATCACTTCCTTTTCTGTAACACACAGCCTACTCTAACGCACATTAGGCAGATCTTATTTCTAATTTAAATATGTAAATTTAATTAATGTATTTAAAATACAAGTTAACATTTATATTTCAAAGATATACAAAAAAGTCATGTGTACATGCAACATATATTTCAAAATTTATCAAAGAGTTTATATTTGAATATGATGACATATAGCCTATATTTTTGAGGTCCAAAGTACATTTCTAAGTTTTTATGAATAGGTTACTTTATGATAATACTTTACATTGAAGTACAGCAGTTTGCTTTTTTACTTTTAAAAACGGTGTCATTTTTAATCAACTTTTAAAATCACATTTTAATTTAAACGTTGACGTTTTATTTTTTTTTACCTGTGAACACAGTACAATGTTAATGTTCAAACAATTTATAATGTTTAAAGTGGCTGACAATTATAAATATTCATAACAATAAGAATTAATGTGCCACGTTTTTGAACTGTGCAGAGCAGGAGGTGCAGCTATACATACCTGGCTTATGTAGGCCTACAATGCTATTGTATTTTAATACTGGTCATTATGGTGGTACGTGGAAAAAAAAGATTTCTTAGGTGGTACTTCATGAAAAAAGTTTGAGAACCACTGATATATACTATTTAACTGACATTCCACTATATTACAGTTTTTGCTGTATTTGTCCTTGTTTCTATTACAGTATTGTTTAGCCTTTGTGAGCACAAGAAGCTTATTATACAACAAATATATATATATATATATATATATATATATATTTCTGATTCCAAACTTTTCACTTGTAGTGTATACACACAAACACACATGTGACAAGCTGGACATAACAATATTCTATTCCATGAAGTCCTCATGCTAAATTAAACAAAAAATATGTAAGTGCAAACATATTACCTTTGAAGGAATTCCAGTGTGCATGCTCACCCTCACAGATTACTCTGCCTTCCGTGCTGATCATCCATTGTTTTATCCACTGGCCCAAAGTATCATCTGAACCTTTAATAAATTGGTTGATTAAAGTATTATTTAGGAATTATTCTGGAGATTAATTCTGTGATTTATCATTTGTTTTGAAAGGCTTGGTGTAGAAAGGGCCATGATAAAATTATGCAAGACGTGATAAAGCCATACAATATCATTTTTCAAAATTAAAATAAATATTTAAATAACTATAATAAGCAACTACATGAAATCAAACCAGGTAATCTGAGATTAAAAGATAATGAAAAGTGACAGAATGTCTTAAGCATGTGTTAAAACATTGACAATAGTATGTCAATAGTAATACTAAAGGATAACTAGGCTTCTAAAAGGCAAGTTTATTTCTTTGGGTATCAGATCAAAACAAATACATACATTTCTAACTAAATGAGACTTTGCTTTAATGAATTAAAAATGAATGAATCTATTTCGTCAAATACAAACCAGCAAAGTCTATAGCGGGACACAAATTAGATTTTTTCCCTATCTTAATCACAAAATACTTACCAGGCAGAATCAATTGAGGAGTCACAGGCAGGTTACCCATCTTTTCAAGATTAGCAGTGGTGGCAGACATCTATTGGTCAAAAATGAATTGTAAAGAATTTTCATTATAATAGCAGTTACTCCTTACTCACATCATCAAAAAGATTAAAAGCTCTGCCACTTTAGGTAACGTTACCAAGCATAAAATCTGATCGTAACTCTAGTCAATTTCTATATAAACCAACTGCAATAACGTAAAAATAACAAAGGTCTCACTCGATCTTAAAATGTTATTTTTAGAAGCACCGGAGTTGCAAATGAAAAGGTGTATCTGTAATAAAATGGACCAAATATGCAAGTTACACATGTAATCACATGAAAAAAAAAAGATTCTGTACAATCTTCTCTCAAAGTTCATGTAAAATCTAGGTTTAACATTCTTACCTGTGTGTGATGTGAAAATGAGTCCTCCAGCTATCGTTAGCTTGCTAAATTAGGCTAAAGTTACCCCCTTTCTCTTCTCAAGACATTCACACGGTCGGATCCTGCAATTAAATAAACAGGTGCTTTGGTTATGTGTTGATTGGATGTTTATGGCATGATATTTAAATTTAATAAGTAATTTAAAGATAGTACGTTTACAGATATAGCTTCTTACCTCGTCGAAAATATCCAAATTATCCAATTATCCTTTCTTGTAAGTACCTTGGAGTTTCAATCAGAGGCACGCAGTTCAAATCTGTCATAAAATGCAGGGCAATGTACCAGTTCATGTAACCACAAATTATAACGTTCAACATTTGCACTGTTCCTAAAAGTTCAGGTAAAATATCCATCCAGGCTCCAGGAGATGTGAGGACTAACGTTACCGAGTCCTTATGCTAATCTTGCTTTTCAAATTCACACAGTCAAATCATTGTTTCAGTTGTGTGTTTATTTTATGTTTACATGTGATTTTAAAACAGGTACTTTACAGATAGTTAGTCACATTTGGAGCTGCAAACTTACCTCATGTAGATAATCCAAAATGGCGTCTTGTGTACACAGAAAAAAATATGGTATAAAACCGTTAAATTACAGTGCCCTTACTGTTGTTGCTCAACCACTCAAACTGAAGTGAGCAAGTCTTCCCATGATGCATTGTAAAAAACGGCAACTTGCTGTTTTTACATTAAAACAGTATTTTGCTGTTTATTTTCACCGTAAATTTACAGGAATTTTTTACAGTGTGGTTTGTTTGTGTTTATTTGTGTGTGTGTAAATATGTGCACGTGGGTGTGTGTTGTGTGTGTGTTTGTGTTTTTTTTGTGTTGGCATGTATCTGTGTGTGAACGTGTGTGTGTGTGTGTGTGTGTGTGTGCGTGTGTGTGCATGTATGTGCATGTTTGTGTGCATTTGCTGGTTTGTATGTATCTGTGTGCGTGCAAATGTGTGTGCATGGGTGTTTTTTTGTGTGTAGGTTTGTGTGTGTGCATGCGTGTGTATTTGTGTTTTTGTGTGTTGGCGTGTGTCTGTAGGCGTGTGCATGTGCTTTTGTGTGTCTATGCATGTATTTGTGTGACTGTGTGTTTGTGTAATGGCATGTGTGTATGTGTGTGTTTTTTTGTGTGTGTACAGTATGTGTTTGTGCATGCATGTGTTTGTGTGTGTGTGTGTGCGAATGTGCGCATGCATGTGTGTGTTTGCATGTGTGTAATTATGTGCATGCATGTTTGTGACTGTTTGTGCTTGTTTGTGTGCACGAGTCTTTGCTTGTCTGTGTGTTTTGGTGTGCATATGTGTGTTTGTTTGTGTGTGTGCTTATTTCTCTGCTTGTTTGTAGGTTTGTGTGTTTGTGTGCATGTTTGTGTGTGTGTGTAAGCTGTTGTAAAGCCACACCCCATTACCTGAGACGGATGTTTGTTGGTGAGGGACATTAAAACACTGATCGGCCACATGGAACCTTTAATTAGCCTCATTCTGCAGCACACACTGATGCCTGCACAGATGCTCCAAACCCACCACGGCACAACCGTTCTGCACACACACACACACACACACACACACACACACACACACACACACACACACACACACACACACGACATAAAAACACACATTTACTCGCATACATACAGTACATAAATACACACAGACACACACACACAACATAAACACAAAACATAAAAACACATGCACTCCCTCATATACACACTCACAACCTTATATCTATCTATGCAAACATACACGCACAACATAAAAACACACATGCACTCGCATACTCGCACATATACAGTTGAAATCAGAATTATTAGCCCCGCTTTGAAGTTTTTTCTTTTTTTAAATATATTTAACAGAGCAAGGAAATGTTCACAGTATGTCTGATAATATTTTTTTCTTGTGGAGAGGTCTTATTTGTTTTATTTCGGCTAGAATAAAAGCTTTTTAAATTTTTTAAACACCATTTTAAGGTCAATATTATTAGCCACTTTCAGCTTATTTATCATCAATAGTCTACAGAACAAACCATCATCATACACACAATAACACACAAACAGACATGCCAGAAACACACACACACACACACACACACACACACACACACACACACACACACACACAAATGCACGCAAAAAAACATAAAAACACACATCCGCTCACATACGCACTCACACACAAAACATAAAACACACACATACACACACCTCAGCAAAAAAAAAAAATAATAAAATAAAAAAATATATATATGTATACATATACTGGAAAACACACACACACACACACACACACACACACACACACACACACATATATATATGTATGAATGCTTCCCAGTACTGGGTTGTGGCTGGAAGGTAATCCGCTGTGTATAACATATGCTTGATAAGTTGGTGGTTCATTCCGCAGTAGCGACCGCCGATGAATAAAGCGACTAAGCCATTTGAATGAATTAATAAAGTTCTACTTTGTGTTTTGTAGTTCATCAAAGGTTGTATTTAACAAAACACACACACACAGATGATGCCATCAAACAGTGTCTTCCAGGAATTCAGTTGTAATCAGGCTTTATAGTTGTTCTGATGGTTAACAGGGAGTCTAAACAGCACACTCACTGTTAGCAAGACATTATGTGTCAATATACAGCACATTTAAAGACACACACACACTCGCACACACTCACACTCACTCACAGCGCTTGTGCATCAAAGAAGTCCTAATGGATTCTGGCAGCAGCTCCTCATGTTCTCTCAAATCTTATTAAAGTGTTTATTATCATAAAAGCTCTGAAGCAAAGATGCAAAACAAACATGTAAGATTTTTCTGTGCATTGATGGCTTGTTATGAGGTGTTTTAATACCTGTGAGAGGCTTCAAAAGGACTGTAAATCTGCTTTGAACAGATTTTTGATTGGTGTTTCATTAGCATGAACTTCTTACTGAGTGACAACTTCAAATTAATTAGTCACTTCTGGGATTTTATCTGTTGACGGACGATCTTTATTTAATGGCATCTTTCTGACTCTGTAAACGCTCACGGTAAAAGTTAATTAGAAGGTGTCTGAATAAGCCGTCTGCATTTTAGCAGGCAGCTGACTCTTCCATAAAACACAAATATATATAAATAAATTAAAGTTAGGAAACCAAACATGCATTAAACTTCGTCATTGCTGAAAGAGAAACAGTCTGGCGTTATGAGAGATATAAAAAGCTCAAAGTGAACCCATAAATACAGTAACATGTACGTAAATTAGCAGTTTCTATATTTCGTGATACTTTTTTTCCAATTTATTTCTGCTTTTGGGTTGCACTTTGGGATCTTGATCTTTCTTCCATCAACTTTTAATCTTGAAAAGTTTGAAAAAGTGACTTTTATGAGCATTTTTAATGGTTTACAGTGCTTTATTGTCTGGGTTGCTGTTATATGTTACTCTGCAAACACCTAGTAATAAACTGCAGCACATATTCTGTTATTTCTCTTGATTTTTACACATTATATCATTTTAAACTACTAAAATGTCATGGTTTCCGCTACAGTCATTCTTCCAAAGTGGGCCGCCACACTAAAATTCATCCCGCCACGGCTACATTACAGCTTCTTATTAATTCAAAACATTCATTCATTGTTGTTGTTTTTAATAGTGGGTTATAATTGCACCTAAACGCATTAAAAGGTAAGTAAATTATAACAACGCAAACTTTTCTGTTACCATAGTAGGGCTGTGCACTATTTGTTTAACCCTTTAAGGTGACATGTTGACAGACTGACTGACTTACTGACAGGTGGGCGATGCGTTAAGACTCCTTTCCACTGCACACGACAAACGACAGACCGGAAGTCATCCATTTTCAATGGAGAGCAGTCCTGGAGCTGCGTTGAGTTCCGATCATCTCCGAGTTTCGTTCATCCGCAGATACTAACTATTAACAAACCATTAACTCTGAATTTTTGCCTCAAACTCCTTATTTTCTGCTTATTAATAGTTATCAAACAACTAGTTGGCTTTGTTTATTTGGTAGGATTATGGGTGTAGTATAAGATTATACTTTATTAGTACTAAATAAGTAATATCTTAATAATAGGCAGGTGATAAGACACTAGTTAATGGTGAACATTGGTATTTAAACTGAATTGTTACCAAGACAAAGTGCAGATTTGTTTATATTTTATTTTGTTAAATACAGTGCTCAGTATAATTGAGTACACTCCATTTTGAAAAGGAATATTTTCTCCATTTTGTCAGTGAATATAGGCAATGTATTTTGGTGCATTTATTCATTCATTCATTTATTCATTTTCTTGTCGGCTTAGTCCCTTTATTAATCCGGGGTCGCCACAGCGGAACGAACCGCCAACTTATCCAGCAAGTTTTTACGCAGCGGATGCCCTTCCAGCCGCAACCCATCTCTGGGAAACATACACACACATTCACACACACACTCATACACTACGGACAATTTAGCCTACCCAATTCACCTGTACCACATGTCTTTGGACTGTGGGGGAAACCGGAGCACCCGGAGGAAACCCACGCGAAGGCAGGGAGAACATGCAAACTCCACACAGGAACGCCAACTGAGCTGAGGTTCAAATCAGCGACCTTCTTGCTGTGAGGTGACAGCACTACCTACTGCGCCACTACCTCGCCTGGTGCATTTATACAAAACAAATTTATTAAACAGAAATGTTTATTAAAATCATATTTTAGTCACCAACCATATTTATGAATTGAAAGATCAAACAAACAAATTCAAGCTAAATATTGAAAAATAGATTATTATTATTATTATTATTATTATTATTATTATTATTATTATATTTATTATTATTGTTATTATTATTATTATTATTATTATTATTATTATTATTATTATTATTATTATTATTATTATTATTTTTGCTTCTCTTCATTTTTCCTCTTTTTTTAAATTTGTGTTTAATATTTTTCTATAACATATAATTTTTGCTCTGTTAGTTTTCGGACCGTTATCATAAGTTATTTTGCTAGATAAGCTCCAGATTTGGCTTCAGGACTGACTAATCTAATGTATATGCACAAATATAATATTGTATAACCATCTATTAACAATATGAGTTCAAAAGAGAGTTGTGAGGGGTGTACATATTTATGCTGAGCACTGTAGGTGTATATCTATATATGTACAGTATATGTGAATATTACACACACAAAGACGTAGATAACAACGTTTAAACATTTTCTCATATCTGTGCTGAGCTGTGCTTTAGCTTATTGTGATGACAGTGTTTCTTTCTCACACTAAGCGACACGCATGCACACACACACACACACACACACACACACACACACACACACACACACACACGTAATTGGTGCATTGTACCTGAACATGTACAATGGCTGATTTGGCCCACATTTCAGTTTTGCCCCATTGGTCTTGTGAGGTGATGGCAAAATGTCAAAGGGAGACGCAGCAATTTGCTTTCCGCACAAAATAATCATGTTTTCCTCCAGGAACAAGGATATCGGATATTAAAGCGGATGCAAAGACAACATTTCCAAGTGAAAGCAGGGGCCATGAATGACAGCAGCACAGTTTTGTTTTTTTCCCCCATGCGAAATTTTAAAAGAACAAACATAGCACATTCACAAAGAATAAAAAAAGAAATCCACTGAAGGTGTCAAATAAACTGTAGCCTAATGCTTTATGTAGCAGAGCAGTGCTATAGGAGAGACGGCCATTATTTTGTGCATTCATGTATAATC